TGGTGCATGGATCGTGTCTGTGGGTGCTGTCCACATTGTTTTATATCAAACTGCTTGAATGGTTAAAGTTAAATAAATGAATCGCCAATCGCATGGCCTCACTTCCATGGCTTGGCTAATGTGCATGTCAACTTCAGTATTAAAGGGTTGTTACAGGCACCATGACCACTTCAATGAATTCAAGTGGTCATGCTGCACATGCACAGTTTAACCTCTCTGCTGATGGAAGTGTAACTCCACCTCCAGTAGCATAATTGCGGTCTCATTAGCCAGCCCAATACAAGAGCTCAGCATTGGTTAATCATAATTCTTGCACAGAATTGCATACATTGGCTGAGTGTTCTCAACTGACGCTCCTAGACCCCCTTTGGGGGTCCGCAGCTCTGCAGAAGCCAGAAGTGCGTCACCACAACAGCAGGGGGCATCGGAGCCGTAGTGGTTATCATCCTTTAACTGTTCAATTCTGGTCAGCAATGAGGAGCATAATTTGGATGGGTTAATCCAGACATTAACTTTAGCCAAGCTGTCAAGCATCCTGAATTTAGGCGAAGAGGAGAGTCCAGTTATTCATTAAACTGTTAAACAACTTATCACAAAGGGTCTGATAGAAGTTCTTAGACTATAACCACCGTATGAGCGTTAGTGGTTTTGAGGCTTAGATAGCACCTTGTAAGAGTCCTGAAAAAACACTTTAGTTTCTTTTCAGATTGAGAACAAGGACACCCAGATTAAATAACGGGCAGACCACCTCACCAGTAAGTGTCCCTGAGCCAGACACCTAACAACATATATCCACTTACCTCAAATCCTCATAGATTGCAAGCTTGTTTGGGCAGGGCCTTCTCACCTGTAAGTATCCCCCTTCTATTAATGTAATGCACTGCGGACAATGTTGGCGCTATATAAATGATGGTAATAATAAAAGCACACCACACTCGGCATTGTGGGAACACAGATTTGTGCACGTGAGCTCACAGCACAAGATCAGAAGCAAACTTTGAGAAAGTCAGTTTATTAACGGATACATTTCCAGGTGATATCCCAAGTAAACGGAGACCCAGTTGTGAATTCGTCCAATGGTCATTTTACGTTATTTTATTTGATCATCTTTTAGGGAGAATAACAAGGCGCGCAGTCTCCATTCCTCATACTGATGGTGTCTCGGAGGCAGGGGGCCAAGAACGTGAGTGCTACAACTATTTCTTAGTGCCATAAAAAGTGACAGTGCTGGATATATCTTCCTTTTTATCTATTTTTGACACTAAATAACAGACAGCCCTTTCCTTTAAAGTAAGGATAATAACAAGGGTATAGGTTGTAACTCACAGCAGAGGGGCGATGAGAGCCGCAGCAGTCTGGCTGCTAATTCTATACTAGAATGTAAAAATACCAGTTGGCTGTTCCGGACAATATTTTCACAAAATCAAAGGAGAAGGGCCCATGCAAAGTGGCCGAGCAAAATTACTGTAATCTGCCGAATGATGGCATACAACGAACACTCAGCGAGAAAGATCTAGAAACACAATAGAAAAACTAAGAAATATATATATTTATTTTTATTATTTTTAAACTATCAGGATTGCCTTCAGGAGATGTCAAAAAATGCACACTTATCAAAATTCCACCCATAATCCTCTCTCAAGGTAATCAGAGCATGGTGTTTTACTGAATGCACATATTACTTCAACATCACCGGAGATCATGACAGCTTCCTGAACCAGCTCGGTGAAGGTCTTTCTTTGGAGTTAGTCATCAGTACCAAGGGCCAACACCTCTTTAAATATCAAGAATCGTTTTAATTCTGTCACGGGAGAATTCCGGAACTACTCCTCCCTGCCCCCCAGAAAAATACAGGGTGACTGTATTATTATCTTTCAGTATATTCATTCGGTTTTGTAGTGCAGTGAAATATTATCATTATGATATAGAGTTTAATTCACAGTGTAATCCAAGGGTTCGCATGTGATTGGAGCTAGGCCCAATAAGAAATACAATAAGGAGTTTAAATCTGCATTCTAACACTATAAGGAATATAAAACTGTATTCTAACACTATAAGGAATATAAACCTGTATTCTAACACTATAAGGAGTACAGACCTATATTCTAACACTATAAGGGGTACAGACCTGTATTCTAACACTATAAGGAGTACAGACATGTATTCTTACACTATAAGGAATATAAACCTGTATTCTAACACTATATGGAGTACAAACCTGCATTCTAACACTATAAGGAGAACATACCTGTATTCTAACACTATAAGGAGTACAGACCTGTATTCTAACACCGTAAGGAGTACAGACCTGTATTCTAACACTATATGGAGTATAAACCTGTATTCTAACACTATTAGGAGTACAGACCCGTATTCTAACACTATAAGGGGTACAGACCTGTATTCTAACATCATAAGGAATATAAACCTGTATTCTAACACTATAAGGAATATAAACCTGTATTCTAACACTGTATGGAGTATAAACATGTATTCTAACAATATAAGGAATATAAACCTGCGTTCTAACACTATAATGAGTATAAACCTGTTTTCTAATACTATAAGGAGTACAGACCTGTATTCTAACACTATAAGGAATATAAACCTGTATTCTAACACTATAAGGAGTACAGACCTGTATTCTAACACTATAAGGAATATAAACCTGCATTCTAACACTATAAGGAATACAGACCTGTATTCTAATACTATATGGAGTATAAAACTGTATTCTAACACTATGAGGAGTACAAACCTGCATTCTAACACTATAAGGAGTACAGACATGTATTCCTACACTATAAGGAATATAAACCTGTATTCTAACACTATAAGGAGTACAAACCTGTATTCTTACAATATATGGAATATAAACCAGTTTTCTAACACCATAAGGAGTATAAACCTGTATTCTAACACTACAAGGAGTACAAACTTGTATTCTAACACTATAAGGAGTACCAACCTGTATTCTAATATTATAAGGAGTACAAACCTGTATTCCAACACTATAAGGAGTACAGACCTGTATTTTAACACTATAAGGAGTATAAACATGTATTCTAACACTATATGGAGTACAAACCTGCATTCTAACACTATAAGGAGTACATACCTGTATTCTAACACTATAAGGAGTACAGACCTGTATTCTAACACCGTAAGGAGTACAGACCTGTATTCTAACACTATAAGGGGTACAGACCTGTATTCTAACACCATAAGGAATATAAACCTGTATTCTAACACTATAAGGAATATAAACCTGTATTCTAACACTGTATGGAGTATAAACATGTATTCTAACAATATAAGGAATATAAACCTGTGTTCTAACACTATAATGAGTATAAACCTGTTTTCTAATACTATAAGGAGTACAGACACGTATTCTAACACTATAAGGAATATAAACCTGTATTCTAACACTATAAGGAGTACAGACCTGTATTCTAACACTATAAGGAATATAAACCTGTATTCTAACACTATAAGGAATACAGACCTGTATTCTAATACTATATGGAGTATAAAACTGTATTCTAACACTATGAGGAGTACAAACCTGCATTCTAACACTATAAGGAGTACAGACATGTATTCCTACACTATAAGGAATATAAACCTGTATTCTAACACTATAAGGAGTACAAACCTGTATTCTTACAATATATGGAATATAAACCAGTTTTCTAACACCATAAGGAGTATAAACCTGTATTCTAACACTACAAGGAGTACAAACTTGTATTCTAACACTATAAGGAGTACCAACCTGTATTCTAATATTATAAGGAGTACAAACCTGTATTCCAACACTATAAGGAGTACAGACCTGTATTTTAACACTATAAGGAGTATAAACATGTATTCTAACACTATATGCAGTACAGACCTGAATTCTAACACTATAACGAGTGCAAACCTGTATTCTAACACTATAATGAGTACAGACCTGCATTCTAACCCTATAAATGTAGTTCTGGGTAGGCAGATTATTTTAGACGGGCTGCTGCAAGGCTGCTTGGGTAAAAGAAGACCCAGGGCAATTAGGGAGTGTGGGGTCTTTGGAAGGAAGAAAATAGGAACTTATACTGGATCACCAGGAAGCATTGCTCATAATATGTGTATGTGGTGTGTTGGCTGTGTGTAATGTGTGGTGTGTTGACTGTGTGTAATGTATGTGGTGTTTTGGCTGTGTGTAATGTGTGTTTGCTCTGTTGTGCCGCTTTCCTGCTTAGCTTTCTGCAGGAAGCAAACAAAAACACACATGTTACACACAACCAACACACACAGACACATGCACTCACAGTAGAGACTGTTAACACACACAAAGCAAGTACACACATAACAATCATTACACACAGCCATCATATACTTTTGGGTGGGCGAGGGGCAGAGTGAGAGACTATAGGGGGCAGAGGGTGAGACACACATTTCTGCAAAGTAAATCCAAATGAAAAAACAAACAAACAACATGTGATTATAGCTGAACTGGAGAATTCTTCTGTGACGGCAGTCACCATCATCTTGGATTTCATACGGACACTTTATGTAGGACACTGGGCTACGTCTATATCTAAGTCACCCTCTGCCCATTGTAGGTGCAAGGTGTGTATTGTTGTTCTATTGTTATATGTTTTGTGTGCTCTCCTGTCCTGCTGATGCTTGCTACCAAGTAGCTGGAATGGCTGTGGAGCCTGTATATCGCCACCTGTTGGTGGCAACACCAATATGCACTACCTGAATAGCAAGGCTTGCTAATTTGCATATTCCGGTAGTTATGCATATTGCTAATTCTGCAGGCAAGAGAGATATTTCGTGTTAAATATTGTCTTCCCCGTGCATTTATAAATATGTTATTAGGTTATTATTCCCTGTATGTTTTCTGACATGTTTTGGTTATTTGTATTTTATTAAGTTTGTCACACCAAGCTTGATGTAATACGCATATGGGCTAGTCCCAAGTAAAGCTTTGTATGTTAGTTCATTGTGGAACTGGGTGTCCTGTGTGGATTTTTAGGGATGCTAGTAACAGAGTCTTCAGACCTACCTAAATGATCCCTCTAGCAATGGGATGAATCAAGAGAGCTAGGTCTGAGAGCTGCATGTGCCTTTGTAAAGGCAATTGAAATCATATTGTAGGCAGAGGTGTATACCTGCCTGGAAGAAGGGCTGCAGATGAAAAGGCAGAGGGGACGATACCTGCCTCGAAGGAGGGCTGCAGGGGAATAGGCAGAGGGGACGACATCCGCCTGGAAGAAGGGCTGCAGAGGAATAGGCAGAGAGGACGATACCTGCCTGGAAGAAGGGCTGCAGAGGAATAGGCAGAGGGGACGATACCTGCCTGGAAGAAGGGCTGCAGCCTGGTCGAGTGAAAAAGCTCCAGAGAGACCTCAGTCAAAATGTCCAATGCATGTAAGGATTTATGTGTCAAGTCAAGGAGATTGGGCTATCACCTTAGACCATCAACAAACAGTTTCTTTTTTAATTTCCTCCCCTCTGCGTGGATTTTCTCTGGATAACATTTTTGATGACACACTCATCTTTAACAAAATTATAGAATGAAAAGAAAATGTGACGCAGCAGTCCCTGGCTACACGTATCCATTAGCATGAGTTACAGAGAGGTTTTACGCTGCTCTCTGGATTCCTCGCTCCATCTGTTAAGAGGTGGGAGAGGCACAGTTAGTACAATCACTGACAGCAAACAATGACAGTGACTGCGAATCGAGAAAGTCTGGTTCATTCCCTGTCACTTGCTTCTGACCTGAGGCGGGCTGTATTATCTAGTAATACCGTGCTTGTCAAACAAGTTGTCAAGCAAAGCAGGGCTTTAGGATATAATTGCTTGAACATTGGTGAGTTAATCAAACGACTCAGCAGTGTTAAAGGGGGACACTCTGGGGTGGAAAGTGGCAACACCCATTTTAATTCCTTTCCTCCCAATAACAGGTTATCTGGTGTTACCAATTTCCCATGTGTCCCTGTCCTGATCTTCACCCAGCACACAGATACGTTTCTTTTATAGAACCCTAACCTGTCCCCTGCATCTACCAAGGAACCGCAAATGGTGACCTTTAACCCCTTCTCCCCAAATCTCCCAAACTTTGAGGCACTTTGTCTTAGTATTTTTCTTATGCCTGATAAGCTTGACAAAATACGGAGTTATATTTTGTCAAGTCCTTTATGGAAGATCTCACTGTATACCTACTGTACTTACTGTGCCTCCCTCTACTGTAATGTAACCTGTAAAGCGCTGAGTACACCTGTTAGTGCTATATAAATATAATATACATACACTGTATACCTACTGCACTTACTGTACCTCCCTCTACTGTAATGTAACCTGTAAAGTGCTGAGTACACCTGTTAGCGCTATATAAATATAATATACATACACTGTATACCTACTGCACTTACTGTACCTCCCTCTACTGTAATGTAACCTGTAAAGTGCTGAGTACACCTGTTAGTGCTATATAAATAATAATATACATACACTGTATACCTACTGCACTTACTGTACCTCCCTCTACTGTAGTGTCACCTGTAAAGTGCTAAGTACACCTGTTAGCACTATATAAATAAAATATACATACACTGTATACCTACTGCACTTACTGTACCTCCCTCTACTGTAGTGTCACCTGTAAAGTGCTAAGTACACCTGTTAGCGCTATATAAATATAATATACATACACTGTATACCTACTGCACTTACTGTACCTCCCTCTACTGTAATGTAACCTGTAAAGTGCTGAGTACACCTGTTAGCGCTATATAAATAAAATATACATACATTGTATACCTACTGCACTTACTGTACCTCCCTCTACTGTAATGTAACCTGTAAAGTGCTGAGTACACCTGTTAGTGCTATATAAATAAAATATACATACATTGTATACCTACTGCACTTACTGTACCTCCCTCTACTGTAATGTAACCTGTAAAGTGCTGAGTACACCTGTTAGCGCAATATAAATATAATATACATACACTGTATACTTACTGCACTTACTGTACCTCCCTCTTACTGTAATAACCTGTAAAGTGCTGAGTACACCCAGCTAGCTTATATAAATATAATCTTACATACACTGTGTATACCTACTGCACTTACTGTACTTCCCTCTACTGTAATGTAACCTGTAAAGTGCTGAGTATACCTGTTAGCGCTATATAAATATAATATACATACATTGTATACCTACTGCACTTACTGTACTTCCCTCTACTGTAATGTAACCTGTAAAGTGCTGAGTACACCTGTTAGTGCTATATAAATATAATATACATACATTGTATACCTACTGCACTTACTGTACCTCCCTCTACAGTAATGTAACCTGTAAAGTGCTGAGTACACCTGTTAGCGCTATATAAATATAATATACATACACTGTATACCTACTGCACTTACTGTACCTCCCTCTACTGTAATGTAACCTATAAAGTGCTGAGTACACCTGTTAGCGCTATATAAATACAATATACATACACTGTATACCTACTGCACTTACTGTACCTCCCTCTACTGTAATGTAACCTGTAAAGTGCTGAGTACACCTGTTAGCGCTATATAAATAAAATATACATACACTGTATACCTACTGCATTAACTGTACCTCCCTCTACTGTAATGTAACCTGTAAAGTGCTGAGTACACCTGTTAGCACTATATAAATAAAATATACATACACTGTATACCTACTGCACTTACTGTACCTCCCTCTACTGTAATGTAACCTGTAACGTGCTGAGTGCACCTGTTAGCGCTATATAAATAAAATATACATACACTGTATACCCACTGCACTTACTGTACCTCCCTCTACTGTAATGTAACCTGTAAAGTGCTGAGTACACCTGTTAGCGCTATATAAATAAAATATACATACACTGTATACCTACTGCACTTACTGTACCTCTCTCTACTGTAATGTAACCTGTAAAGTACTGAGTACACCTGTTAGCGCTATATAAATACAATATACATACACTGTATACCTACTGCACTTACTGTACCTCCCTCTACAGTAATGTAACCTGTAAAGTGCTGAGTACACCTGTTAGCGCTATATAAATATGATATACATACACTGTATACCTACTGCACTTACTGTACCTCCCTCTACAGTAATGTAACCTGTAAAGTGCTGAGTACACCTGTTAGTGCTATATAAATAAAATATACATACACTGTATACCTACTGCACTTACTGTACCTCCCTCTACTGTAATGTAACCTGTAAAGTGCTGAGTATACCTGTTAGCGCTATATAAATATAATATACATACACTGTATACCTACTGCACTTACTGTACCTCCCTCTACTGTAATGTAACCTGTAAAGTGCTGAGTACACCTGTTAGCTCTATATAAATAAAATATACATACACTGTATACCTACTGCACTTACTGTACCTCCCTCTACTGTAATGTAACCGGTAAAGTGCTGAGTACACCTGTTAGCTCTATATAAATAAAATATACATACACTGTATACCTACTGCACTTACTGTACCTCCCTCTACTGTAATGTAACCTGTAAAGTGCTGAGTACACCTATTAGCGCTATATAAATAAAATATACATACACTGTATACCTACCGCACTTACTGTACCTCCCTCTACTGTAATGTAACCTGTAAAGTACTGAGTACACCTGTTAGCGCTATATAAATAAAATATACATACACTGTATACCTACTGCACTTACTGTACCTCCCTCTACAGTAATGTAACCTGTAAAGCACTGAGTACACCTGTTAGCGCTATATAAATAAAATATACATACACTGTATACCTACTGCACTTACTGTACCTCCCTCTACTGTAATGTAACCTGTAAAGTGCTGAGTACACCTGTTAGCGCTATATAAATATAATCTACATACACTGTATACCTACTGCACTTACTGTACCTCCCTCTACTGTAATGTAACCTGTAAAGTGCTGAGTATACCTGGTAGTGATATGTAAATAAAATATACATACCCTGTATACCTACTGCACTTACTGTACCTCCCTCTACTGTAATGTAACCTGTAAAGTACTGAGTACACCTGTTAGCGCTATATAAATATAATATACATACACTGTATACCTACTGTACTTACTGTGCCTCCCTCTACTGTAATGTAACATGTAAAGTGCCGAGTACACCTGTTAGCGCTATATAAATAAAATATACATACACTGTATACCTACTGCACTTACTGTACCTCCTTCTACTGTAATGTAACCTGTAAAGTGCTGAGTACACCTGTTAGCGCTATATAAATAAAATATACATACACTGTATACCTACTGCACTTACTGTACCTCCCTCTACTGTAATGTAATCTGTAAAGTGCTGAGTACACCTGTTAGCGCTATATAAATAAAATATACATACACTGTATACCTACTGCACTTACTGTACCTCCCTCTACTGTAATGTAACCTGTAAAGTGCTGAGTACACCTGTTAGCGCTATATAAATAAAATATACATACACTGTATACCTACTGCACTTACTGTACCTCCCTCTACTGTAATGTAACCTGTAAAGTGCTGAGTACACCTGTTAGCGCTATATAAATAAAATATACATACACTGTATACCTACTGCACTTACTGTACCTCCCTCTACTGTAATGTAACCTGTAAAGTGCTGAGTACACCTGTTAGCGCTATATAAATAAAATATACATACACTGTATACTTACTGCACTTACTCTACCTCCCTCTACTGTAATATAACCTGTAAAGTGCTGAGTACACCTGTTAGCGCTATATAAATAAAATATACATACACTGTATACCTACTGCACTTACTGTACCTCCCTCTACTGTAATGTAACCTGTAAAGTGCTGAGTACACCTGTTAGCGCTATATAAATAAAATATACATACACTGTATACCTACTGCACTTACTGTACCTCCCTCTACTGTAATGTAACCTGTACAGTGCTGAGTACACCTGTTAGCGCTATATAAATAAAATATACATACACTGTATACCTACTGCACTTACTGCACCTCCCTCTACTGTAATATAACCTGTAAAGTGCTGAGTACACCTGTTAGCGCTATATAAATAAAATATACATACACTGTATACCTATTGCACTTACTGTACCTCCCTCTACTGTAATGTAACCTGTAAAGTGCTGAGTACACCTGTTAGCGCTATATACATATAATATACATACACTGTATACCTACTGCACTTACGGTTGAATACTCTGCCCATAGGCATGATCCGACAGGCAAAGTTCATCTTGCCTAAAAGGGATTGGAGTCGTTGCAATGTAATTTTTCGCAGGGAGCCCGCCTCCCGTAACACCCCCCGTAGATCGGCCAATTTGTCCGCCGGGAGCCGACATTCCCCGATAACGGAATCGATTTCGATCCCAAGAAAGCACAAGCATGGGGAAGGGCCAACTGTTTTCTCAGGTGCCAGTGGCACACCAAACCCACAAGCCACGTCCGCCACTGATTGCAAAATGCGTGCGCATATCGGGGAATGTGCGGTACCGACACACAGGAAATCGTCTAAGTAGTGAAGAAGGGAGTCGTAACCAGACTCCGTTCTCACTACCCATTCCAGAAAGGAGCTAAAACATTCGAAATAAAAGCAGGATATTGCACAACCCATCGGGAGGCACATATCCACGTAGTAATGCCCTTCAAATGAACAACCTAGAAGATGATGGCACTCCGGGTGCACCGGCAAGAGGCGAAAAGCTGACTCAATGTCGGTTTTTGCCATGAGTGCTCCGGGACCCGCAGCCCTGACCATACAAACCGCAGCATCGAATGAGGCGTATGAATCACGGCACAGTTCTGCCGCAATGTCATCATTTACAGAACCCCCGTGGGGGTGTGATAGGTGATGAATGAGCCAAAATTTACCTTGCTCTCTCTTGGGTACGACGCCTAATGGTGACACCCGGAGATCAGGGAGAGGCAGGTCCCGGAAAGGGCCCGCCATGCGGCCCAATGCTACCTCCTTGGCCAACTTTTGCCTGACCCCCCCGGGTGATCAGCGACTGAACGCAAGTTCCGGCATGTACCGGACGCTGGCCGAACCTGGTGGGGAATCCAAAAACCATGCCTAAAACCTTCCAATAATAAGGCGGCTGCCTTTTTATTCCTATAAAGGTTTAGCCATGGTTGCATCACATCGACGTCCACCGGCGTCTTCGCTCTTAGCGCCCATGGCCTCCCCTTTGTCGCTAACCTTGCCCCGCTTAAAGCATCTGGAAGCGGGGTGTGACCCGCTGCACCCAGAACACTCATGTTTGAAACGACAACCTGAACCGAATTTACATTGTCCGTCGTTATACTGCCAACAACAGCCTGTTCTGCGCTGACTGGCCGACGCTGTTGGTGAGGACCCCGCGCCACCCCCCCGAGAAAGGACGAGAGACCCACTTGATGCGATGCCGGCGGGTCATGATGGCCAACCACAAGCCGATATCCATTTGATCCCAACCCAGGGAAGGGCGAACTGCCAAGCGTTGGCGGAACTGCTCATCATAACGCCACCAGCCTAACACGCCATAAATCCGGCACGCATTCCATATCATATCCTGGTAGCAAAACAGGGAAGAGCATTTGTTAGGAGTATTTTCGCCTATTACACTAGCCAGGATAGAAAAGGCCCTGATCCAATTTCCAAATGTTTTAGGTATCTTCCGATACCTAAACTTCTCCTTATCCTTTTCTGACTCCTTTGCATCCGAATCGACCCGAGGCAGATCTTCCATAGGGAGGAGCGAAAAAATCTCCACAAATTCCCATTTGTCTACCTTGGCTCGCAATTCAGGAGTCAAATGGAGGCCCAGCGGCCCAGACCAGCACATGTAGGCCGCCCCATGCGCAGCGGGCGCAACCCCTAACCCAGAGATTGCGGCAGCTTCCCCAACGGACCCCCCAGGGGACTCGAGTTCCGCTGCCAGTGGAAGTGATTCCAGGGGGACACTGGGCCCCTTAGGGGCAGCCGAGGGCGACGACGTGACCCCCGGGTGATTCCCGCTAACTGTCCAACCCGACTGAAGTTGATCGTCCAGGGCCAAGGGGGTTGGAACCCCCGGACGAGGGCCCTTTTCAAGAGAATGCAAGACATTTCTCATGGTTTGTAATAAAGTCTCCCACTTGGGTGTGACCACTGCACCAATACCCCCAGACCCGGAACCCGGCAACCCAGTATACTCACCGTCAGAGATTGGATGCGACGGCCCTTGATGCACCATAACCTGGCCACCAGGTTGCAACGGCCCTGCGGGAACTGCGACCGCAGGAGGAACTGCACCAGTCACAGCGTCAAGAAACCGCACCGTGAGACGACCAGGGTTAATCTGTGAAGATAACAAAGGTGAAAAAGAACCCAGCCCACCCACCCCAGCCGTCAAGGCACCTGGGGAAGTGGATGGGAAACCAGCAGGGGTAGGGCCAGGAGGGGTAGAATGGGACCCCTCTGCAGCAGTGCCTGGAGAGGTAAGTATCAATCTGGTGTGAAGGGGGGCCGGGAATCCAGAAAGGGCCCCAGCTGATCGGGCAGATATATCCGCAGAGGCAGGCCCAGGGGGTCCAGAAAGGGCCCCAGCCATGAGGGGGCCAGCTGAGGAGGGGGGGAAGGGTAGGGGTAGGCCCAGGGGAAACAAAATGGGTCCCAGCCGTTAAGAGACCAACTGCAGGTGGAATAACACCAGCCGTAGTGGTAGGTGTAGGCCCAGGGGAGACAGAGTGGGGAGGGAGGGGGGGGCTGATTGGAGGATTAGGCGATATAGGCTCCCTGCCACGGCCCCCTGAATCCCCCACCCCTCTGGAGACAGCCCTGCCGACCTGCGCCCTACTTACCCGTCCTGAAGAGGGGGGTTACCTGCCCCCGGATCACCAGAGATTCTGCCCGCGCAGGCTGGGTAGCACCGCCCACAAGCTCCTGTCCTGTGGTCTTGCGGCCGCCCTTCTCACAGCCCGCGAGACCGGAGGGGTTGGGAGGTGTTGAGCAGCGTGGTCCACATTAGCCCGTCGTGCGGCCACCTGCCGGCTTCGCCGAAGTCCGCTCGGGGATTGGGTGCTAGGAGCGCGGGGAGCAGCGCCGGCCGCGGCCGCAGGAGACAAAACGCGCGGGCCGGCAACCGGGCTCCTGCCCCTCACCCGACCCTCCCGTGAGGGGCTATACCGGGTAGGGGGGCGCGCACAACGCCGCTGGACACCATGGCTGCTGGAAGAGGGAGCAGCCATAAACGCAGCACCCTGCACCCGTGCCAGCTGAGACTGCAGGTGCCGGCCACCATCTTGAAGGGCCTCAGCCCGGAGGGCAGCAAGGATTGAATCAATATCCATAGCCCTGTCCGTGGAACAAGCAATGGCAACAGGCAGCACAGGGAAGATGTTACCAGCCGTTATTTCTAAGATGGCTGAGGTAAGGGAACAAAATTACTGCTATTTATATGACCCCACCCCACCTCTAACCTAAGTGACACCCCCACTTGTGACACCTACACCCACCACACCCACACATGCCTCCTATTCGGCTAGCTTTCAGCCCGCCTCCTCTGGGCCTTATACAATATCCCAGAAATCACACACACAATGTGCCTTACAGTGTTTGTGTATAATTTCCATTATATTGTATATGATCTGCGACCCCTTCCCTGATAATACTCCTTGAACAGGGGCCCATTTGGATGCCACGACCCTTTAAGAGCCAGCCAAACCACTGTAATATCATCCTGGCAGCGAGGAAGTTACAGCTTGTCACTTCCTGCTTCACAGAGAGCCGCCCTGGAGGAATGGAGGGAGGAAGGATGAGGCTCGAGGTAGCGGAGGCACACACAGCAGCATTGAGCCAGAGGAGAGGCTGGAGAGGGCTGCTACTGCATGCTCACGCCCATCAGCCTCAGCCATAACAAGAACACCAAGCAAGCCACCCTCCTGGATATAAAGGTAAGCTAACAGGAGGATGGCTGCAAATATATACAGTGTGACATGCAGTGTGTGAATGTCAGATTGCTTATGTTTTAGTATGTGTATATGCAAGTGTGTACCTGAGTGAGTGTGTGTGTTTGTCAGTGACTGTAAGTCAGTGTGGGTACCTGAGTATATGTGCCAGTGTGTTTATCTGAGAGTGTGTTGCAATGTGTGTATCTGTATGTCAGTGTGCCAGTGTGTGTGTTGCAATGTGTGTATCTGTATGTAAGTGTCTGTATCTGAGTGTATGTGCCAGTGTGTGTATCTGTGTTTGTGTTGCAATGTGTGTATCTTTATGTCAGTGTCTGTATCTGAGTGTATGTGCCAGTGTGTGTATCTGAGTCTGTGTTGCAATGTGTGTATCTGTGTGTCAGTGCGTGTGTTTATGCGCCAGTGTGTGTATCTGAGTCTGTGTTGCAATGTGTGTATCTGTGTGTCAGTGTGTGTGTTTATGCACCAGTGTGTGTATCTGTGTTACAATGAGTGTATCTGTGTGTCAGTGTGTGTGTTTATGCACCAGTGTGTGTATCTGTGTTACAATGTGTGTATCTGTGTGCCAGTGTGTGTGTATGCGCCGGTGTGTGTATCTCTGTGTCTGTTGCAATGTGTGTATCTGTGTGTCAGTTTGTGTGTGTGTCAAGGTGCTCATACATGTTTGGTGGCTGTAAGTGTGTGTGGGAGGGGGGGGAGGTAGTGGTGCAGTAGCTGTTGAAGCCACCTCACTGAAATGCATGTTTGTATGTTGGGATGTCTGCTAACTGACAATCTACATTCTAATCTAGATTTACTAAGGTCTGTGAGACACAGCAACAGATTACATTCTGAGCGCCATGTAACGGTTTTTACCTGATCTGACTAAACCCGCTATAAAGTTAATATAAGGGAATGTCACCTCTGTTCATTTGTAAAATGCTGTCTGTATACATTGTAATAAAATATATACATGGCTAGGATAAAGCTGCGCGGTCATTGGCTGTTGGAGAAGATCTGATAACCAATCATTCTCGTAAAAGATCTACATCCCACTCAGGCCCCCCAGCTGTTTCTCCAGCTCCCGTGGTAGACCACTGTACAGCTCAGAGACCAGGTGGAGCACGTTAGGAAGGGCTGTGTGAGTGAACAGAATGCAAACATTTCATGATCCGTATAAACAGACCTCTATCCTGAGACCATTACAAATGGCCCAAACACAGGACTAAA